TGACACTCTATATATATATATATATATATATATATATATATATATATATATATATATATATATATATATAACATTTTATATATATATTATATATATATATATATAAAATTTAATGAACAACGCTAGCTGTTGCAGATCAGCGTTCGATTCGCAACGAGAAGCCACGGTGAGAGCGCGAACAACACAGGGAGATTAACAGACGTCCGCGATGCGCTTTAATTAACTCAGTCGCGAGTTAACTGAGATGCGTCGCCAGAGAAAATCCTCACAGATTTCCGCGGAAATTTCTCGCGCGACACGTGTACGTGAGGCGCAATGAGATTTTCTAAGTGTATCACGCAAAATGGAATCTCGTGCGAATTGTGTTCAACGCTTTTGTCAGATCGCGTGTTGCTGCGCTCGCAATGAATATAAGTAACCGGATGTTCATGAGGTATTGAGTATTCAACAAGAAAGCTTGTTCGCGTTTTGGGGCATATTTCGTTTCACGGCATGCAAGGCAAAAGTGCCAAATCCTGGCTATTCTTATTGCTTTAGAGAGAGAGAGAGAGTCTTTGAATACGAATATTTAAATTTTCAACATGGAACAAATAGTAAAATACATGTGTTTCAAATATATAGTGAAATATATGTTTGTGTTTATTTCAGAACGTTATTTTTGAAGAAAATTTTAACGAAAGAGCTCATGTTACGTATAGAGTTTTCAGAAGAATTTTCTTTATAAAGAACGTTTATATATTTTATGTTGCAAATTTTAATGTTCATATTTAAGGACTAAAGCAACAAAAATATTCAAGATTTCATGTTGAAAGCTAAATATTCCTATCTGAAAACCAATGCACAACAATATCCAGGATCAGATACACAACGTATCCAGGCGCTTTCATCTGGTACACCTTCAGGAGATAGCGTATTTTCACCTTCAGGATAAACGCGAGAAGAAATAACCAATGTCAGGTGAGACGACATTCGCATCGCGAATAAATCGCGGAGAAAATTCAGAGGGTTGAAGTCTACATAAATGTGACGAATCCAATTTTCCGTTTTGCACGCAGACGGAATCACGAGCTGCGTCATGTCAATCGCGACGATGATCCTCCTTGCATAAGCGCAGAGCTCGTTCTCGCTTGCGAAATCCGATCGATTCGCGATCTCCGTCGGTTCGGCGTGAAAAGAACGTGGCGGTATCACAGCGATTTTCGTACAGCGCGCCGCACAGTACGACACGTAACGTTCGTCGCCCCGTTGAAATTATTGATCGGCCGTAGGCAGTGAGCTTTCGCGAGTGTCGGCTTCACAGAATCAGCCAGACCGACGAGGATCGAACGGCTGCACACCGGCTTTCGGAGAGCACGTCCTCTCTCGTCGTCGTGTCCACGACGTGACACACGTTCGTCCGGTGCATCCTGACGCGATTTGTATATTTGCGACGCACAGAATCGTGCGCGGGAACATTAATCCGCCGTGGCCAACGAGGAGAGGTCAAGAGAATCTCTGACGCCTGACAAAATCGTCTTTCCCACTCTCGAAATTCCTTACAGTGGAATCTCATTCAAAACGAATGAACAATGGCGGTTATCCTCACTCGAAGTGGGTAGACAGGTAGCGAAAATAGTGCCGCTCGAAGCCGCAAGAGTGAAGGTTTCGCTCAAGCTCAGAGCGAATTCTGACTCCATATACAGGGTGTTTCTTAACCTCCGTCCACGAAGCGTTATTCCTTATGAAAAATTGAATCGAAAAGTCCTGAACCATTTTTGTCTTTGATGCTTAACGAAGCAGATATTCTTTAATAAATTCCAGCAAATCCGCGCCGTTCTTTAGAAGTGACGTCTGTGAGCTGCGCGCCTGGTAGTGTGCGTGAACGCAGCGGCGCAACATTCAGACATGTGTATATTTCTAAAGGACGGCGCGGATTTGCTGGAATTTATTAAAGAATGTCTGCTTAATTAAACATCAAAGATAAAAATGACTCAGGACTTTTCGATTTAATTTTTCATAAGGAATAACGCTATATGCTTCGTGGGTGGAAGTTAAGAAACACCCTGTATAAGCGAGTGTTGAACATCGATTAGAATGAACATATTCCTCCGGCGCTGGAATGTACCATCGGACTGACTCTCCGAGTGAACTGACTGTTTCGAGTGAAAGTATTCACTCGACCGCTTGGAGTGAGGAATTCACTCTGTACCAGTGGAAAATCATTTCAATTCGAGTCACTCGGTGGTCATTCCACTTTTCGAGTGAAATTTCGTTCTAAGAAACTCAGAGAGTAATATGACGTTGCGCTGTGTATCGTATTGCGAGTAAAGTAATCGACAAATCAAGGGAAATGTATGTAACGAGGACAATAGACGATACCTCGATACATGCAATTAATAATCGCAAATTGCAAAGTCACACGAAGACACGAAAATCTCGACTGAGGTCGCGATAATTTCATCGAAAGTGACGAAGAGTGCCCGATCTTACGTCTCACCTGCACACATTGTCGAGTAACGGCGCGAGACTCACACTTTGCGTCACGTTTCTTAATAACAATCGATCTGAAATCGAGCTGATAGAAATCCACGACGAGCAGCTACCGAGACAATCACAAAGACTCGACACTAAATATTGTCTCATCGCGAACACAGACGTTTGTATCTGGAGACGTGAAGGAGACACGCGGCGATAAGCAGCCGGAAGGTTGAACTGATTATCATGCTTGATATGAAAAATGCCGAGATGTGTTTATCCAAATTGGAGCAGACTCATAAATTCGAATGAACTCCGTGATGCTCGCGTATAATATACATACATACACGCAGTGCTTTACAAAAAGAATCATAGAACTTACAATCCAGAAATTTTATCAAGAGAGTCAGAAAGAGAGAGAGGGAAACAACTCGACTATCAAGTCCGCTGTCACTCGTCTCGACACGATTCGCCCGCAGTACGACAACGGAAGGAAATCACCAGCGATACGTAATCTTTCTCTCTCTTTCTCTCTCACACACACACACACACACACTAAATGATCATATGATTAATAACCACTACTGAAAGATTCATCACCTTGGAAATTCTTCACACTCGAGATCTTCGTCCATTGATTCTAAATACGGCAATGTATACTATAAGATACGTATAAACTGAACACAGTTAAAGCATGTTGTCATTACCTGCAAATATACATAAATTCGACGAATCCTGCTCGTAATAATGTGTGCAATTTTCCTACGATTTTCCTTCTTTCGTATAATTCATGTTACGAATATAATCGGACTACGTGGCATAAAATATATTTTAGTGTACGCGGTGTATGCTCCAAGTATATTGGACTTGAAGTCATTCCAGGTGGCACTGAATCGAACTCTCATGGATTTGTAATGGAAGTCAACTGAATGAAAATTCTCACAGGACTCGCATAAATCGTGCGAATTTCAGTACATTCTGTTTATCGCAGCTATCTCTATTTCATGAGCAGTAAGCTTTAAACAGAGAAATCTTCTTCGGCGATTATGCAGATCAACGACCCGCGACTGCTATAATTTTCAACCGCGTTTTCATACCTTCTTCTGCGTTTTACACTGAAACATTGTCTTTGCATATGCAAAGTAATCTGAAAATGTTATCATTGTTGAAGAGACGATGGCGATTATATCAAAGGACACTTTGCTTCCTTTATAAAATTTTATCTCTTGAGAAACGCTCTTTACTTGTTTTCTTTCCTATCTTTCTTATCCTTCTAATTCTCTTTCCACTCCTATTTTTCTATAATGTACGCCCGGAATGCTCTCTTCGGTGCTCGGACAAAACTTGCTAATCTGCGATCGCGCGAATCGAAGGAGGGCCTTCTGCGGAAATCGAATATGCGTGAAGCGAGACCTGTCTTTCTCCTTCTCCGTTGCACTCTCGACGATTTCTTACTTTCTTCGTCTTCCTTCTACTAACTGCCAAGTACACACTTAAAAGTTGGAAGAAGCAGATGGTAAACGTAACTGGAAAAAAAGACGACAAGACACTGTTACTCTCATTCAATCTCTACGATTTCCCTCTTTACCCTTTCATCCTCGAATCCGAATATATTCTCATTCGACTCCAAGAAGCTAAATGCGTCGAGCAAAAAGTCACAAAAGACAGACCCTAGATTCTTCCTCAAGGGAGCCGCGCATGATTCTCGTGATGTTGGTTGTGGCTGTGGTTATTATTACGTCATGCAATTTCTCGTGACTCTATTTTCGTCAAACGACCCTCATGTATCGATTGCTTCTTCGAGATTTGCATAAACAAACTCAAATGTATTTTGAATTGCGAAAAAATATAATGAAAATCTAATGATGACCAACAAATCGACAAAAAATATGTATTTCCAAGAGAACATTTTATCTCCCCCCTCCTTTCTCTCCCTCTCTCTCTCTCTCTCTCTCTCTCTCTCTCTCTCTCTCTCTCACTTTCGTAATCACACACAAAGAAAAATTTAAGCGATGAAAAAGCCGACTCGCAGGATTCGAGGGAAGCAGTGTACATTGGACGAAGCGAAACCAACACAGCGAGTGACTCGTTCGCCTTTCGCAACGGGAGGCAGGCGGATAGAAAAGGTGAGCGACTCGCTCGCCGCGCGCGCGCTCGCGAACTCGCGATTTCCTTGCTGCTTTCTTCGCGCTGTCACTCGCTCGGGCGTGCGTTCGCCGACGAGATCGCGCCGGTTTGCGAACGGGATATCGCGCGATCGGAATCTATGGGCGCGTCAGGTCGAGATGTCCGTCCATTTCGGCCATCGACAATCTTACGGCTGGACAATGAGCCCCCGACTAACCCGGGAAATAACGTCACGATGGCGAAAAGGCGAGAACGACCGCGAGCCATCGAGAGGAGAAAAGGCTTCGCGCGCCGCGGCGAAGCGAACTATGACGTTCTGTTAAGTGTCAGATGTACTCTATTTCTTACTTACAGTCGAGATGCTTCTTCTTGGGTCCGATCATCTCCTCCGTGGTGGCCTTACAGACGGATTTAGCAAGGCCCTGACCGGCGATGCTGTGCCTCGCGGCCAACAGCCTGTCGTTGATCGTCTGTCCCGCCATACTGTCCCGCTGTCAGTAGTACTAGCCAACAGCAGTTACGTCCACAACGTCACGGATTCTCCCAGTCGACAGACGAGCGGGCACGATATCGAGAGAGAAAGTCCCAACCCTCGGTGTTACCTATCGCACCGCGTGCACCGCGGCGATACGTGCACGACGAACGCGACGAGCGAGAGAACGGACGAGTCGGCCGACCGGAGAACGCGAGAACACGGCGGTTACGGGGCACTGGTGCAACTTCACACCGATCCGACACGCCACGGTAGCACAGAGCACGACACGACGCGAACAGCGGATCCGCGAGAGCCGAGACGAGGCGCACCGCGCGAGGCGCCCGTGACGACGTACCGTTCTCTCCCCGATATCGCTCGACGCGCGACCGCTGTGCTTTTCCGGCCCTCCGATACCTCTCTCTCCTCCTCGTCCTCCGCCTTCGCCTCCGCCTCAGCCGGTTCAGCTGCGTTCGCGCCGCGCGAACGTCGCCGCGGATCCTACGCGAGATCACCAACACAGCGGAGCTCAGGCAGCTCGCGCTAACAGCGTTAACGGCTCAGCTGGGACGGCACGACGACGGCTCGCGGTTAGCGGATAGCGGCGGACAGCAGGCTCTTTCTGTCTGTCAAGATGGCGGCGCTCGGTGCCGACGGCGCTTCCCCTTCCGCTTCCCTTGCGCGACCGCCAACTATGCGCGCCGAGCCGGCCAGACGACCAATCGCCGAGCACCCGTCGCGAATACTCGGCGCCCGCTGTGACGTCACGCCGAACCGTCAACGCGATCGAGGTCCACGAGCAGCGAGGAGAACCGTGAGAGTGCGGCCTATGCGCGGCTTTCTTGCTCAGAATGCGAATTAACAGCGCCCGTTCGAATTGCCGTATTTTGTTTATCGGCTAGTGTTTATCGATCGGCCCTCTCGGCCCACGAGCGACCTCGGTAGCGCTACTTACTTCAGGCCGCTCGATCATCGATTGAGAGTGTGCCGTGAAGTCTTGACGTTCGTCAGGAGCTACCAACATGAGGCATTTCTCCAAAATTTCACAGCCTCTTGGAGCATTCGCGACGCCTACCCCGGAGACTTTTCTGCAAATTGTTCATCTGACAATTCTTTATTGCGCAATGACACGTAGGGTCCTGCGCGACATTTGATTCCGTGAGATTTCGTAGGGCGGAGGAAATTGAGATGTGTGTTCGCGCACTTCGTATCTTTCCCTATGTCGCTCGCGTCACGACTTTCCAGCAAGTTTCGCTAAAATGTGCCATCTACCATTGCTAACTTAAAACTACACTCGAGATCGAGTTTACCGATTGAAAATCGAACCACACCAGACACAAGGGCTGTTCTTTTTCAAAGAACTTTCTGAACCAATATATACTGATGCAATAAGTTACAGTGAGACAAATATATTATGTTTCACTCCAATTTATTGCAGTGTAAATCGCTTCAGAACAGATAATATATACCTTAACATATTGTAACAAGATTTACTGGTACTACGATTTTTAATCTTATATAATATGCACACGTAGCAGAAAATCGCAAGAAGCTTAATAAAATATCAAAATTTATATTCATCAATTAGGATGCTTCCCAGCATCAATTAGGATGCTTTCAAGTAAAACAAGAAATAATAACATTAAAATGACGAGAAAATGATCAAATTGTGGTTGAAAAGTGAGCTTTTTAGTCATTTTAATATCATTTTGATCTCACCGTGCTTTTTCTATGTGAGTTGATCCCTTATTCTGTACTCTCTTTTATCGATAAAAACACCTCTAAGTGTGACATTTAGAGGCTCTTATCTACAAAAGAGACTTCAGAATAAAGACCTTGTGTGTATATATATCGTGCGCTATCATCAACAAATACTGTCAAAGATCGACGACAGTGAATTCACGCGCTTGCTTGTTGAACGGAGCCATTGATAGGATAATGAAAAACGTTGACCGATCGTCGATGACTGTACTTACAGTGCGATGTTACAACATTTTCAGCAAAGAATCACCCTCCGTGCGCCAGCTGACCAAGTTCGTTTTCAAGAGTTCATACCCAGCGAGAAATGACTCATCGATCAATGTCGAAACGAAATCGAAATCATGAAATCGATGTCGATCGACAAATCATTTCTAGCTGGGTATTCACACGGAAGTGCGCCACATATGCGCCAAAAGTCGACCAATCGCGCGTTCAACCTGAACGTGGCGCAGCGACACGGCGATATTCGAAGTTGGACGCATGATTGGTCGACTTTTCGCGCATTACGCGTAAATTGCAGTTTACGCAAATCCATCTGGACGAATCTTTGCGCCCGACGGGGCAAGCGTTCGCGGTATGTCGTCGCTACGTGCAGAAGCTAACAAGTCGATCGGTTACCCGACGATCATTGTACCGACGTAGATCCAGAAGCGCCGGCGCTGGAACGTGACTGGAGCGCCAGCGAACAGTCGCCCGTGAGACGCAAGTGTCGCGCGATTCAGTCGGTGACGACGACGAGAGCCGTGTGGCACGCGAGCGGCATCCGACCGACGAAAACGCGCCGAGGCCGCTGCGCTTCAGCACCGCACAGTTCCCCGTCGGCCCCGGGCGCGCGCATTCCCCGCCAGAATCCGGCATTCCTCAACGTTCGTTTGTCTCACCTACTTGCCGGGACCCGTCATCGACGAGCGCCTCAAGATTCTGCGACTCACGCTCGCCACGATCAGGAGGATGACGACGGCGGTCGACAAGGAGGAAGTGAAGAAGCGGCTGTCGCCGCTCCAGTGGCATGTGACGCAGGAAAAGGGCACGGAAAGGTGAGATGACAGATAGGGCGCCAACTCGAATCGGGACTCGATCATCGGGACCGACGATTGATTTCTCTCGAGTTCCATTCGGCTTTACTTGCCCATGTGTGTACATTCGCTCCGCGAAAACGACTTCTACGACGATCGTCGTTAACGACTTCGTCGCGTATCTCGGTCATGGGACAGCCGACCCGAACTCTCTCTCTCTCTTTCTCTCAATATATGGTTCCAGGCGCCTAATAAGGCCTCTGCCCCAACGCCACTCAACGTTAACAGACGTGTATTATATTAATTTGGTAATGCCATTGTCCGATCAAGAGATGACCTCTGATGTATCTTAATAATTCCAAGATAGTTTCCACAAAAATCACAGATCACATCCGAACAGATTTGAACACCACACGACAGTTAGGCTGGAACTTGAATCGATTCAAATAAATTTCAGTCTCGATCTTCGATTTGATGTCTCGATGCGATATATTTTCGATATATCTTTCGAAAGTTTCCTGTGTTACGGAATGTTTAAAAGCAATTCTTACATTGGTTTTTAGCAATGAGAGTGCTTGCTTATCGCGGTAGGCAAAACGGTCGTGGTAGATGCTCCAGTTTGCGATGTCTGCTGATTTTGCAACCGAAGTCAACCGAAGCGTAACAATCTTGCGTAACTGTGATAACACAGAACGTCGAATTATTCTAATTTTATCGATGACTCGGACGGATGTCGTTCGTTACGCTCTATATTTACCCGATCCGTCAGATTCGTCCGGTTTGCATCTGACTTACCGTGCTACGTGACACTCAGGAATGCTCTGTCCAAATCTTGAGTCTCACGTTATGTTCATACATTCGTCAGGCGCGCAATTTCGTTCTTTGAATTGCTTTTCTGTCCTTCTCATTGCGTATACTTATTTCGTCTCTCAAATATCGATATGAGAAGTACATTTTAGCAAACGCCTTAAAACAATCTTTTCTCTTAAACATTTAGAAACATTAATAGTTTTAAAATAATATATCACGCTTACCATCGATCGCACAAATTGCACACAATATAAACACCAGACGACATCGAGTGACTTAATCTTAGACGAGGAATAACCGAAATAACTTTTTTCAAGAGCGTATAGCAACCTGGCTTTGAGCTGCCTCATGGCCAATGGATTTAAAAATAAACTATGTGTGTCAATGAGAGTTCATAGTCTTTCCTTGAGCGTCGCTAACACCTTGAATTGATCCGACATTTTATTCGGTACAGGCCATTCACCGGTTGCTACAATAAATTTTACGAAAAAGGAATGTACACCTGCATCGTGTGCGATCAGGAACTGTTCTCCTCGGATACGAAGTACGATAGTGGATGTGGTTGGCCTGCATTCAACGAAGTTTTAGATCAGGGACGCATTAAACTTACCAAAGACGCCTCTCATGGTAAGCAATTAACTTAATCTGCTATCAATTAGCCGTAGTTGTGCAAGAATGGTCCGACTCGTGTACATTTCGAGAAAAATGAAGATGAAAATTTGATACACAATTTAAAAAGTATAGATAACACTGAGGTTCTTTATAATTATTCAAGCATGATGAATTTTCTTCTCTTTAAGGGTGTTTATTGACAAACTTAACCCTTAAAGAAATGATTAAAAAAATGCAACTAGGAAAAATGGAAATTTTTAATTAATTTTAGGCGTCTATAAGGCTTGAATTTCTTTTTGTTGTACGTAGAAGAACGCGCGTATGGATTATCCGTTAAACTGATAAAAATTCAAAAATCACAATCTTGGGCTTGGATCATTCTTGCATAACTGTGGCTAATTATTATATCTTTTGTGATTACGCTCGCGTCCTTAGAATAGCACTATAGATATCTCATTCGCATTTTACATTATTAAATATTGCACAATCCTCGAAATAGTACGCACTTTAACAGATATCGCATTAATCCTTAATAGTACGCAGATGTATCATAGAATTATGTGGGAGAAGTCGTGTAACAGCATAAAGTTTGTCAGATCAATTTTCTAACAACATATCTGCTTACTATTCTTAGGACACGCTGTTACATATATTTAGTGACATTAAACTATCTTTGTCGTTTAAATGCTCTTTCATTTTTAATATATATATATATATATATATATATATATATATATATATATATATATATATATTTCCCAGTATTGAAAAATATTACAAAAGAAAAATATACATATCACAATTGTGTCAGTCAATAAGTTTGGTTCGATTTTCTGTCTTTGACGATAAATCAGATACTTTCCACTATAATAGAGGTGTACAAATACTGCCAAAAGAATTAAAGATGACAATGATTACGTGATAGATGAATTATTAAAAGTCTATTAAGTAAAATTTTGATATTACATTTAACAATCAAACCGGACTTTTTGTCTAACTCAATGAGATTTATTTCGTTGTAATATCGATCATTAATTTATGCAAAAGTCTTGCATCTATTTCTTTCCTTTTTTATATATAACTGTATATTGTATAAATTTAAAATTATCTTTTTAGTTTTTTTACAAGAATCCTTATAAGGAAAAACTGAGTCTCCCTTAGTAAATTTGCTGAGTAAATTTGCTTACACGTAGCTCTACGATATACGTAGTACATAGTATAACATTGTACATTACATTGAACATTGACACACCCCGTTGTCCCGATTCCTGCATGTATTCGCTTAGAGTGTGATTGTGTTAGACTTCTATCACTTTTTTATATATTGGACTAATAATTTTACTGGTTGTACATTATGAAACACCTGTTGAAATACGACTAGCAAGAATATTTGGTTCAGTTGTGTTTGCAGACACGAGGTTTTCAATAATCGCTCGACTGATGTGGCTTAGAATTCTTGCAAAGTGGCCAAGAGGCGCCGAATGATACTTTTTTTCCTGTCACGATTACAAATTCTTAATAGATATTGCTTTTAGAAATGGCATACATCTGCGATGCAAATTAAATTTCGCTGCTTTCACGTTTGTTAATTGTTATAATAGTATTGTGGCAAGAGTGGCAATTGAGATAACAACGACATCTAATTGTTTGCGAGTGCGTTTCGATATTTACAACTAAAGATACAAACTCGCAGCGTCGTTATTAAAGGATACTGCACACGTAATGTATCCATAAAATAAGATTGCAAAGTAAACGATTGGTATAAAAAGATTTATTTCTATGTATCACTTTGTACAAACAATGCGGTAGTCACGAGGAATGTCAAACATATTCAATAACGATTAACAGCGGGAACGATGTCGAGTTCGTATGAGACACAGGAGTATTTATCGAGTAAAATAGCTTCATATATGTACAAATCTCCCTGCTGTTGTTCTTGTTGGTATCGTATATAGATATATATCCTCTGTCACTTGATTTCTTACTTGATCGGGTCTCTGCTATTTTAAGTTCGATCTTTTCGATACAAGATCTTTAGAGGGCTTCTATTATAGCGATAAAAAGTCATGTGTAAGATGCATTATGAGAAGGGCGTGTCTAATCGTCACACTCTATTGTTCTTTCCTTCCGCCCTCCTTTGCCACTCCGCTACTACTACCACCAACCAACCACTTCACTCTCACCACTGAAAAAAACACCGATGAACAAATATCGCGTCGCAAAAAACGACGCGTACAGTTGGCGGCAATCTACTACTGCTGATCGCAAACCCAGATATGGTGCGGACCGAAGTGACCTGTTCGAAGTGCAACGCGCACCTGGGACACGTGTTCAACGACGGGCCGAAGCCTACGAGGAAGCGCTTCTGCATCAATTCCGCCTCGATAAGCTTCCATCCGGCGGGAACGGAGGAAAAGTCCACGCAATAAAAAACTATCGTTTTCTCCTCCACTGTTGCATTACATATTTACAAAGAAATTGTTATATGGATATTGAAATGTCTCCGTTGTATTTAGACGTTGTAAGGACAGAATAACAATTGTTACCACCGAGTTACCCAGTGGGGCATCTGAAAGCAAAGTCTGAACCATTACGGAGAGAGAATGAGAAAGAGAGAGAATGTTTAAATGTCATCTGTGACACACGATGTGATGTGAATGCTATCGATACTAACAAAGGTTTCTGTCATATCCTCTCTTCAGTCTCTTTCCCTCTCGCGTGCGCGTGCTTATGCACGTTTAATTTATCATAGTTCAACTAAAACAATGTAAACAATGTACATGACTTGTATATGATCTTCGTATATCGCGAATGTTCCTTTTTACATTTTATGCAAAAGTGATAAAACATGCTATTTACATGAAGACATAACATTTTCGACCAACTTTTCATACGCGACGAAATGCATCGGATGTTGTTATTTCTCTCGAATGCTTTGCTATTATGTACTCTCGATATTACATATGTACATGTATATATCCATATCACAACACGTAACAATCTACACGTGTTTGCTTCAAAGAATCTCAGAAAAATGATAAAAAATTTATAACTGAAAGATGTTATTTTTCCAATAATATATAAACGCCATATATAATACATTTTATATATATATATATATATATATATATATATATATATATATATATAATATGGAAATAATATATTCTTAATATATATATATAAGTTATAATTTAATATGTATATTAAATGTGAGGGCTGAAAACGTGTGTAATAATTATCATTTTGCAATCTCCTCTTCATCCGCTAAGCAGGAAGGACAATTCATATGAAAGGAAGAATATCTTTGTTATAAAATGTTTCCTTATATTGTAACGTTCCAAAACAAACTGAAAGGTGTTATAGTACAATATATACGTAAAGTTCTAGGCATTATTTTTACAATTCATTACTCCCATTTTTGTTTTGCGTATCTTCGCTTTGAAATTTATCGTCATGCGCGGTAAAGTATTACATGCTTCCTGAGAGACCAGATTTTCATCGAATGATACCCAAAAGCGACAAGCGCGCGGTTTCTCTTATAAAAGTTAAAGCCGGATGAACCTTCGTCTCTCACGAAAGCTCGAAGAATCGAAGTTTTCAATCTCTGCAGTAAAATAGCGACTTTATTACTAGGCCTACTTCTTCCATTCAAAGAGAGATCACAAAGCATTTTCAAAAACATCGTAAAACACTGCAGCAAAAAACATGCATACACACATACTTAATATGATCTGTATTAGGAGCCTATTAAAGAAAAAAAAAACCTAAAATGACGATATATAACACGCGCGAGTTTACACGAGTAATTAAATGCGACTGGAACGACTATAAGAGATGTGGATGCGCAAACGGATGCAAAGCTGTCCGCATTTTTATCTCTTCCTCTTCCACCCTTCACCTCCTCCTCTTTTTCTCCTCGTCTCTTTTTCTCTTTTCTTTTTATTGAAAAATTCGCCTGCCCGCTTTTTTTCTCGGAACTCTCATATACTCGTTTGCTATATACGCGTTGCACGATTCGCTTGTTAATGTCAAAAATAATAAGTACTTTCGTATGCATCACTTATTATTATTACGATAAGGCATGTTTGGTACAATTTTTTGTACTTTTGTTTACGCGACAGAGGATCAACGTGTTGCTCATCGTCCGGTTCGGTGTATCAGCGAATACGTCTACACGCTAACTAACTAACGTGCTTTTCAATCGGAGATCGAGTATCGATCGAGTGATCTTTCACGCGGATAGCTTTGCATCTCGCGGCTGCGACTTGATTCGTACGTAAGAACCATTTAACATTAATAGCTGCTAAAGATTAGCTGATAATAAGTGTCGTAAAGAAACATAACAACGTATAACGGGAGGACAAAGCTCTATCGCTCCAAGATATTTGTGAAAATGCAGGACCTCACTTTATAATGCTCCTGTGATCGCTTTAACGTCAATCTTAACCCTGGGTCGCACTATTCTGTGCTTGTTTTTTCTTTTTTTCTTTTTTTTATGCAATTATATCCATTAAACTCTATCCTAATTGGAATGAGCATCGATCGAGTTCAGCTCGCCTTTTATTTTACACATGACGAAAGTAGGTTGCGATCATCAGGTAAGTGCCAATCGAATTAAAATAACATAAGATAATAGTTTCTCATATCACACAAACGATAAGATATCAATATTATCCACCTATTAAAGTACGTATATCATACCAAATAATCTTGTAAAACAATACTATACTAAAAAACCTTATAGAAAAGTTTTGAGTATGAAGTTTTGAGTAAAAACTTGCAAGATTAATATTGGAACAGAGCAACTAATTATTCATTACAGAAATACACTAGAGAAATGAATACTTGCACGTATCTTGCTTTTTCTATATTACAGTTAAATGGAGTTAAAATTCACTGTTGACAAGCTAACAGAAAGGGCCTAAAGGGTCCAAAGTACACTAGAAAAGAAGATGTAATGATCTACGATAGCCGTCCCGATTAGGATAGAGCTCAATGGTCATACCTTTTCTTCGCTAATACTAAGACGTGCGCACATTAATTTGTCCTTAATGTCTCTTAACGTCAACTTACAATCCGACCGATTCGGAGACGGACGTCGGAACGAATTAGTGCGGAGTATTAGTAACCTAGAGAATACTGACAGATGCAAATCTCATTAATTTATTCTATAGAGAATCAATCGACAAATTATGGCAATGTATTTAAAATACTGCATCACGAGAGTAACTGTTGCTATACGAAATTTGTATTTTGCGGTAGATTTCTGCTGATTTGACTCGTCCCAAAGTCACAAACATCGAATGAACAGATCCTTGTTCTTCTTCGGTGTAATCCACTTAACCAGCCATAGCTACCGCGCATTCATAATTCTTTAAAGGTAAATAGCATTAATTCTTTCGGCACTCCGGCTCTAAATTCGGTCGTAAGCGTTGATACAAATCTGAGCTGTTTTCTCTCTCTCAGTCGAGTACAATCAGACATTATAAAAATCTAATCAGGCTTTTCAAAAGATGATACTACAAAAAAAGTGATAAAAGAAGAAAAATGAACTCATTATCGAGTAGAGCGAATACATTTGATCATATATAATTTCTCGTTATCAAATTTTACATGTATATTACAGGATGTTCCAAATAAGAAAATACATGAAGATATCTCGAAAACAACACATCCCGAAGAAAAGTGGTTCAGACGAAAGTTACGCATGAATTGAAAGAAGTTTATCATCGAAATGTATCCTGAACTTTTTAACTAAAATCGTTGTTTTTATTACAAATTGTTGTAGCTTTTCACTCTGTACCATATTTTTCCATGATTCATAACTCTGAAGGTACTCAATGAAAGAGGATTTAATGAAAATGTGTCGTTTACAAGATATGTTTATGTAACTTTTTTATTTGGGACAGCTTGTACATGTGTGTGTGCGCGTACACAAAACACACACATACAGGCATCCTTTTCCTTTTTTCCTTCTCGTTTCACGTATGCAATATAAGTGTATCGTATTAATTTTTCTCGGTTTATATAACTATCGTATTTATTCTCACAAGATTTCAGTTAATATTAATTTATATACGAGTTCTATACATGTATGTATAATAAAAAAAACCCATTCGACCGAGCGGCCACCCACGAGACGCTAAGATCGAAACATCGAGTAAAATTACTTGTGTGTCACTTGCGAACCTCCGAAATTCGAGAGGGAAAAGAAGAAAACCCGATATATCTAGCGTGTCATCCGGAATGGAATGCTAGAATGTTCGCTCAAAAAAAGCCCAATATTTTGTTTTCTTCTTTCACCATCGATTCGAAAGTTGACGCAAATAGCTTGCACGCTCTCGCTCTCTCTTTCTCTCTCTCTCTCTCTCTCTCTCTCTCTCTCTCTCTC